TTCGACGATTTAACGTGTTTGTTCCACAAACAACATTGCAATAAGAGAGTCCGTCACAATCAACTGCGCATATGGAGGTGAGGCGAAGACCACCTTTTGATTTTGTGATGAAGGCTTCCTTCCCTCTAACTGACCAGCCATATGCAGGAGTTGATGCTACAGTCCAACTGGTTTCATCTATACAAACCCAACGTGCTACACCTGTTATATAACCCCTTAGAGTGTTTACTGCTGCAATTCTTTTTTCTTTATTATCTGGCGTGTTGCTTGTTGGCCCTCTTGTCTTTGTTCTTTTGAAAGAAAAAATAGGGACTTCTCTCTCTTCACCTGTTGCTGTTTTACCAGTCATGAAATTTCCAATTGATGATATCGAAGGTGCATAAAGATCAATGTCCTCTTTAGTAACAGCAACCTTGGATATTTTTGGAATATCCAAAATTATTTCATCAACATCTTCTTCTTCGCGTAATTTTTCTTCTTGTGCTATCATTTTTCTAATTGAAGTTATTTTTGTTGTTGTGTCTTCTTCAATGGCTTTTTCTACCAATTTTTGAAAAGGTAAAGTACGGCTTTGTCTTCTATAATGATTTTTTGGATATATTGATATCCCTTTTCTTAACATTGAAAGATACTTTTCAATGTTTATTTTTTTAATCCCAATTATTTCTGAATATCGTGAAGCATTCATGTTATCACCATTTTTACTCCATAGTTCAACCAAAGTATCTCTTTGATCAATCGTAACACGAGAATAAGGTCGTGTATTTGTTTTCTTCTTTTTTGAATCCAATTTTCGGGGCCGACCCCGTGATCTTTTTTGAAGAGGTGGGATATCTTGATGGGGCAACATTACAGGTCGTACAGGTTGCCCTTGCATGGATAATGGTGCATTTTCATGATAGTCGTTTCTTGCTCCAGGATCTCTTCTGTCGATATAATCTAATTGCATGATATCATTTTTTGCCCGTTATTTAAATATACATAATTATGTTAAAAAAATATCCTCATTGAGAAGAGGTTCTAAATAAAAATAGATTAAAATTTCGTTATATAATAGTATAAATATAGTTACATATTAAGTATTTTTAACAAATAATAACTTGCTTATTATGTGTATTTTTATTCCTAATATTCGGGAATATCCAATAATTTGTAAAAAAAAGCAAAATATTTTCAAACAAAAGTTATATAAGTTATCAAAAATCCTATATATTTTAGAAAAAAACTATTGATTTTACTAAAAATGTTGTATAAATTAGAAAAATGCCATATAATTTATAACAAATATAACCACTTTCATTAAATGCTATATAATTTATAAAAAACACAGTCTATTTCATCAAATGCTATATAATTTATAAAAAACACAGTCTATTTCATTAAAAGTAATATAATTCATTAAATACAATATAAACCATAAAAAATACTGTCGAAAATATAAAAACATAATCGATTTATTAAAAAATATTATCGATTTGAAACCAATAAGCACTGTATTATATTTTATTTTCATTTAATTAAGTTAACAACAAAATTAATTTTAATTTGTCTTGTAATTAATAATAATAATAATAATAATTTTGTGTTAAATATAATTAAACAAACATAATTAAAAAGTGAAATAAATTAAAAATATATTTATTTAAACAAATTAACAATAATAATCAAACATTCAGAATAAATAATAATTAACAAATTAAAATATAGTAATTATAATTTAAACAATTATTTTAATAATAATCATTCATTGTGTTAATAATTATTACAAATAATTATTCAAATAAAATAAAATATATTATTAGATATATATCTATTTCAAACAATAAAAATATAAATAAAATTTTATTTATTGAAGTGTTTCATATCAATTGTCGAAATTGGTTTTGAAATCAAAAATCATTTTGTGATTCAAATTACTGTAATATAGTTTTGCAAATACACCATCAATATCCAAATTCAAATGAAGAGCATGTTTCACTTGTGAAAAAAATCTTTCAACAGAAACGGAAGTAGAAAAAGTAGTAAGTAAAATATTAACTATTTCTACAAGTTTTGGATAATCTTTCTTCTCTATAAAAGGATAAACAGCCAAAAGGTTATAACTTCTTACATATCCTGTTTTTTTGATGAATTCAATGTCAAATTTTGACCTCAAGTAATTACCTTTTGATTCTGATTTGATCAAATCCAAATTACTTTCAATAAGAGATTCCAATTTTTCAAGTTCTTCTTTGGTATTTTCATATTCTTTGGGTATTGTAGAATCACTTTTTCTCA